ATTTTAGGCATAATTACCATTTTGACTAGGTTTATACGTCCTATCCAGGATGGGTTTCCTCCTTCTAATGTTTTTAAATCTTCCCTGATCTCGTTTATCAAAGAAATATAGTTTAATCTATATAAATGCTTAGATGAGACAGTAAGTTTTATTCCTAGGTATTTTATCTCTTTTTCTCTCCATATAAAGGGGAATTCTTTTTGTAGTTTTTCTTTTTCATTCTTTGATATATTAATATTCAAGATCTCTGATTTCGTTGGGTTAATTTTTAGATTTGATAATTCACCGTACTCCTTCAGAATCTTCATTATATTTGGGAGTGTTATTCGGGGGTTCCCCACATAGAACAGTAAGTCGTCCGCAAAGGCCGCTATTTTATGTTCTATAGTTTCTATCTGAATTCCCGCGTTTTTTAAATATATCATCCTTTTTTCATTGATTCCCTCTCGAGCTTCTTTTAGAGAACCTTGGGGACTAATATTATATAACTTTCTGTAATACTCCGTGAACACTTTAATAATCTCTTTAGTTGAGTGGGCCGACTCCCCCTTAGGACTTTTTATCTTTTCTATATAGTTCCTATTTTTCTTTTTATTCAAAGCTCTCATTAGATATTTTCCTGGTCTATCTCCCCATCTATATCTCTCATTTAAAACCCTGTTATATACTCTTCTCTTCTCCTCATCCATCAACATCTCTAGTTCATCTTTTTTTATCCATTAACTTCTGTCTTGTATCTTTTTGTTATTTTTTTCTTATGGATCTGCTCCAGGTCCAGTATTTCTTTTAGAAGCCCACTGACCCTCTCTCTTCTTTCTTTTTTCTTCCTTGCTCCTGCCGCAATCAAGATTCCTCTTATAAATACCTTATGACTTTCCCAAACTGTAGCTATCGATACTTCCTCTGTTTCGTTCTCCCTAAAATATACCCCAATCTCTTTCTCGATTTTCTGAGCTAAATCCTCATCCAGAAGAAGAGCCTCATTTAACCTCCACCCTAATCCTCCAGTCCACCTTCTTCCCCATCCCATTTTCATTACGACCGGGGCATGATCCGAGAACGTTCTTGTCTCTATTTCAATTTTAACCAGATGTTCTATAAGTTGATGGTCTATTAAAATGTAATCTAATCTCGAGTATGTCTCGTGTGCATTAGAGAAGAAGGTATAGTCTCTGTCTTTCATGTGCATTATTCTCCAGGTGTCCACTAGTTGATACTCGTGCATCACTTTTTTCAAAGCTCTCAGAGACCTACTCCCCTCTCTTTGCACAGAAGAGGTAGTATCCTTTTGTGGGTCCATACAGAAATTTAAATCTCCTGCTACTATCAAATGCCCTTTTTTAAATTCCATTAATTTTTTCAACAGACCCTTCATATACATCTCCGGGTTCTTATTAGGGCAGTATATATTGGCTAAAGTACACTCAATCCCCTGAAGTTTACCTTTTAAGAATAAAAATCTCCTCTCCGGATTGGTCCTTCTGTCCTCCAGCTCAAATCTCATATTCTTTGCCAATCCTATTGCAACCCCTTTTGCTCTTTTAATTGGAGAGTCTGCGTAATACCATATTGGATAATATTTAGATTTCAATTTCACATTTGCCTCTATCTCAAAGTGTGTCTCCTGTAAAAATACCACTGACGTTGCCCTATGATGTAACTCCTTAAACAACTTAAATCTCTTCCCTGGACAACTCAACCCGTTCACGTTATAGGTTATAAACTATTTCTTCCATCCTTCCTAGTTCGCTCTATCTCTCTTCCAAATTGCCTCTTCCTCTTTATCCCTACTGTCATGCAGAGTGTTAACCCAATACCTCCTCCCCTCCCAACTCCCATCCCCCCCTCCCCCCGTCCCTCGTTCTTTTTTTCCCCCCTACCCATTTTTAGGCTTGAATACTGCCTATAAATCATTTGTGGATCTATTTCCACCACTGATTTGATGCTTTGGGCGTAAGCTCCACCCATGGCCGGCTAGCCTCTCCTTCGACCTCCCCAGATCCCCTCTCTCTATCCACAGGAGAATACAAAAATCTTTACTTCCCCCCTCAACCGAAGCACCCGAGGGATTACCATTTCAACAAAGGTGGGGTCTGGGGGGTCGAGAGATAGAGGAAAAAAAAAATATATTTTTCTCAATTCTCCCTCCCCTCTCTCCCCCACCCCCGGGCCCCCCCTCCCCCCAACCCACTGCCAGTCCTCTTTTCTTGTATCTTCTGTTTCCCTTCTTTCTTTTTCTTTTTCTTCTTCTTCCCACCCCACTATCACCATTCTTTGCAGTTTCAGTCTGTCACAAAAATCCCTCAGTTCCTCCGGGTATCTCAAATATGCTGTTACGCCATTTTTCCAGCCAATTAAACAAGCTGGGGTACCCCATCTATACTGGACGTTCTGTTTTCTCATTTGTTCCAACAAGGGTCTCAGGGATCTCCTTCTCCATAGGGTCTCTGGTGTTAGGTCCGCATAAATTTGGATATTTAAGTCTCCATACTTAATTAATGATCTTCCTTTAATCTTCCTCCATATCTCATCTTTGACCCCAAATTTTTGGAACTGGACCACTGTATCTCTTGATCTTTCCTTCTCCGCAGCTTGATAAAACTTTCCTATTCTAAACACTCCATCCAGTTTAATCCCGTCTGTTTCAGGTCTGTCTCTTATGGAGTTTAGAATTTTTACAACTAGGTCATATAGTGATTCCCCTTTTACTTGCTCTGGAATTCCTCGAACTCTAAGGTTACATCTTCTTTCTTTATTTTCTTGAACTTCCATCCTATAGAGCAATTTTTTCTGGGTATTCTCCAAGTAAGTTATTTTTTTCTCTAGATTATCTATGGTTTGGGCCTGGTTTTTAACTTTTTCCTCTGTTTCTTCCACTCTCGATAGCAGGTGTCCTAAATCATTCCGCACAGCTGTCATTTCATGTTTTATCATTTTTTCCAAATTTTGGAACATTTCTATCATCTCCTTTTTATTTGGTGCTTGTAGTTCACCGTCTAGTTCTTTTTTTTTCCCAAGCCCTCTGTTGTTAGGTGGCTACAGCTACTATTCATACCCATTGATAATCTAGGACTATTTCCCAGAGTAATGTCCATTTCCCCTTTTGCGCTTGCGCCTTGGGCCCTTTCTGGCGTAATATTTCCTTGCGATGTAAATTTCTTTATCGTACCTGTTTGAGACCCTTTGAGCCCTGTTCCCTTAGGACCTTTGTTCTTCATGTCCTCTAAATCTCTGATTTCTTCTCTTATTCTCAAGATGAAATTATATCAGTCCTTTAATTTGTACACCAGACAAGCCTGCTGTTTTCCCTTATATTTTTACTCTCCTAGAACACCTGGAGCTCTTCTCATCTTCTCTTTCTTAACCCAGGGAATCCTCCCCTCCTCTCCTTCACCCCTAGCTCTCCTATATCACTCGGGGATCCCCCATACGATAAGCCCCCAACAGCTCTCACTCACCCTTCTTCTTCTCCAAACAGTGGCTCCGAGCTTAAGATGTAGGGCTTTCGCAGCAGCTCAGTCCTAGGGGGGATTCCTCTGGGTTTCACTTTTCTCCTCCTGTTTTTTGTTCAAGGTCTTCACAGGAAAGCAGGGTGGTTCTCTTTACTCTATTGGGTCACCCAGACCCAGGATCGATCAGCTGGCCGGGGGGTTTGAACATATGTAAGCCGGCGGCTCCCTCTTACATCGGGACGCCAGCCGGTTTCTTCCTTCTCCCAGAGATCCTCCGGGGCCGGTCACGTGCTCCACCACGTCACCTCACCCCTCAGCCTCCCGGATCTCTCCCCCGTAAGGCGCCGGGCGGACCAGCGCGTCACTGCCACCTCCGCCCTGGTCCCATCTCCGGCTCTCTCTCCTCTCCTCCGCCGTCCGACAGACTCCGGTGAGTCAGATCCCGAGTCCTGCTCCAGAGGGTCACTAGGGAGATCGAGTAGGGGCGGTTTAGCAGGGAGCTATTGCCGCATGCTCCCCACAGCCGCCATGTTCAGGCTCCTCCCTCATGTGGCACAGGAGTTGAGGACTTCACCATTTGGCCGTCTTGAGGCCCCCCACAGTGGCGGAACGCCCACACGGGTGGTTGTTCTGCCGCTTGTTCTTTTATTTTGAAATTCCAACACTCCTGGCACAAAAGATTATTAGCGTTTGTACATTGCGTTTATCTGTGATTATGGGCATTTACATGTGTTTACATGCGGCTATGTTTAGCTGAAGTAGTACATTCTTGCCTTTTCTATAGCAACTGTTTACTTAGTTTTTCTTTGTACTGCAATTAACTGCGTTTATGTACTTATAGCTGCGGTACATCACTCCTGGATGCTGTCAACTTTATTTTTACTAAACGCATATAATCGTATGTTATGAAAATGTTGCTAAATGCAGTGTGTGGATGGAGCCATAGGGATGCACTGCCTGCATTTAGCTGCAGTAAATAAGTTTCTCTAACCGCAGCTAAAAGCTGAAATCTGACCGCCGGTGTGAAAGGGGCCTTACTTAGCATGAAGAGTCCACTGGAGATGGAGAGTGAGTGTGATCACTGGTGGGGAGCACAGTTCACGGACTGACACTTAATAAGAAGAATAAGCATTGGCACTATTAAGAGACTGCATAGTTTGCACAAATCTTATGGACTATTGATGGTGTCACTATATTGTTTATTGAAATTATGATTGTATTTTGGATATATAAGGCAGCGCTTACCTACCTATGTTTATATAATCTTGAGGGATAACACCCATTGTAGTGGCAGCAGACATTATTTACCTGTATGCATTTGATTATTTATTTATTTAATTCTTTGAACACGGGTATTTATAATATAGTTCTCACTAATCCTGAGCGCAGGATATAAGTTTTTGTTTTTTTTTAGAAAAAGTATGCTGCTGCTTAGATATTTTTTTCGCAAGCGTTTAATAACACAAAACAAATGGGGAAAATTCTGCAGATGAGGGTCTGTTGCTAATCATGGTTAAATAAATAAAAATACATTTCTGAAGTACTTACATCCATCCCAGGAATTGCTCTTCTGCAATGAGGGCATTTTATGTTCATGAACATAAGCACTACGACTTTATGACCAGCATCTGTAACTACCTGTTTTATCCTTTGCTGAAAAGAGAAAATGTTGTTATGGTATCATGTATTTGAAAATATACAAAATTGTTGTAAATAATTGTGAATTCCAGACATGCAAAAAGTGTACAATATTTCCAAAAGCATCTGCACATAGGACTTATAGTACATAACCAGCTCTTTATTAAAGTGCAAACAGGAAGCAGCAAGGTAAAGCATAAAAATCTCCATTTAAAAAAAACACCTTATTGCACCATCAAACAGGTTCTTTTTTTGAGCATGCTGGAGATGCAAAAAGTGTATTGAATTCCACTGACCTATATAGACAATAAACTGCTGTTACAGTTAATAATATAAAAAAAAGCTATATATATATAAAACATTAAACCAATAATCAATAATACATATATATATATATATATATATATATATATATATATATATATATATATGGGAAAAGTGTATCCCATACTTACCGTAATTTTCCTTTCCTGCATCCTCCCCATATCAGCCTACCACAGGTCAGCTCTGCCCTCTCTGACCCCTCCAGGACAACGTCTTACCTAGCCTATAAGAGTGGCTGTCTCCCCTCACTCAGCGTTCAACATATCACTCCTCGCAATGGAGACTGGGTGGGAATCCCCAGCTGAAATGGGGAGGCATATACTGTAATATATATATATATATATATATATATATATATTCTACCATATTTTCAGCAGGTCCAGAACAATTACAAGTTTACTCACAGCATCACCTAGTGGTAAAATCGGACATCACAGAACAAAAATTGATTCTACAGGAATAATTGATTTTATTTATTTATTTCAGGCACTTATATAGCGCTGTCCATTTATGCAGTGCTTTACACATATATATTGTACATTCACATCAGTCCCTAACCCTCAAGGGGTGTACAATCTAAGGTCCCTAACTCATATTCATACATACACATACTAGGGCCAAGTTAGACAGGAGCCAATTAACCTACCAGCATGTCTTTGGAGTGTGGGAGGAAACTGGAGAACACCAACGCAGACACAGGGAGAACATGCAAACTCCAGGCAGGTTGTGCCGTGGCTGGGATTCGAGCCGACGCCCCTAGTACTGCCAGGCGGAAGTCCTAACCATTTAGCCACTGTGCTGCCCCATTGTTCTGGATAGTTTTCAATCATTCTGGATGATTTTGATTTCCTCCAAACCATGCAAGAAATGGAAACAGCTTCACTTTACTGCTCCTGTGGAAGTGATCACTTCCAAAAATAAACTGACCATCAGCTAAAAAAATATGCACACACTCCTGGAAGCAATAGCAGCTGGGTGTGTGTGTAATGCTGGATTCACACTCGAAGCTCAAAGATCAAAAACTCTTGAGGAGAAAAAATTGATTATTCTCATTAGAGATTGTTTACATTTCCACTCCAAGTCACCAGAAGCCAAATGCCTGAAGCTCAAACAAGTTCTGGAGCTTATTTGGTTGCTCAATTCAGGCAGATTTTCCCATTTTTTTGAGCGTTTTCAATTTTATTTAAATGAATGGAAAAGCGCAATTTGCGCGATTTTTTGCTCAAATGAAAACCTTTTTAAAAATAATAATAATATATGAACAAATAAATTTAAAATAAATACACACATTAAAAGCATCATAAATAAATAATAAACAAATAAAATAAACTAATAATATGTAATAATAAATAAATAGTTATTAACCCCTATATAAAAAGAAAATATACCACTAAATATACAAAAAATAAATGATTTTTATTGATAATATTAGCAATAATATTAATACATCCTTCTCTACCTCCACCCACTAACTCACTCACTGCCCAGGAGATCACTAATCACTTCAAAAATAAGATTGATACAATTCGTGACAAGATCTCCACTGTACAGATATCTACCTCACTCTACACCCCTTGTCCACCTGCACAATCTATACTTCACTTGTTTAACCCAGCTACTATAGAGGAGGTTGGTAAACTGTTTTCTAAAGTCCACCTAACCACCTGCCCCTGGACCCTGTTCCCTTGCAAATACTACGGACACCCTCTGGTTCTATCCTTCATTCTTTAACTCATAACTTCAATCTTTCCTTTCTACTGGCATCTTCCCCAATTCTCAAAAACATGCGCTAGTCACCCCCCATACTTAAAAAAGCCTCACTAGACCCCACCAATCTTGGCAACCTAAGACCCATCTCCTTACTTCCTTTTGCCTCCAAACTCCTTGAATGTCTAGTCTACAACCGGCTGAGCTGCCACCTTATTGAAAATAACCTCGATCCCCTTCAGTCTGGATCTCGCCCACAACACTCCACAGAAACTGCTCTCCTAAAACTCACAAACGACTTATTATCCACTAAAACCAATGGTCACTATTCCGTACTCTTACTCTTGGACCTCTCCGCTGCCTTTGACACAGATGACCACCCCCCCTCAAAAAAAAACTCTATCTACTTAGTCTCCGTGACTATACTCTCCGTTTGTTTGAAATGTACCTATCTCAATGCACCTTCAGTGTCACTTACAACTCTACTTCCTCCTCTCCTACTCCTTACTGTCGGGGTCCCCCAAGGTTCTGTCCTTGGACCTCTTATATTCTCAATCTACACTTCTTCCTTGGGTCAGCTGATAGCTTCCTATGGTTTCCAATACCATTTCTATACTGATGACGCACAAATATATCTTTCTACTTCTCAGCTCACCCCATCAGTTTCCACAGGTATCATCGATTTACTAACAGATATATCAAACTGGATGTCACACCACTTCCTAAAACTCAATCTATCCAAAACTGAGCTCATAATATTTCCTCCCCCATGTGCCTCTTCCCCTGATTTCTTGGTCAGGATCAATAGCACCACTATCAACCAATCCCTGCATGACAGGGTGCTAGGGGTAGCCCTGGATTCTGAACTATCCTTTCAGGCCCACATCCAATCCCTGTCCAAATCATGCCGCCTCAACCTCTGCAACATCTCCAGAATATGCCCGTTTTTAACCAATGATACCACAAAGCTCGTAATTCACTCTCTGGTCATCTCTCGCCTCGACTACTGCAACTCCCTTCTCATTGGCTTACCTTTACATAGGGTATCCCCTCTCCAGTCCATCATTCACCTTACCAACTGTTCATTGTCTGCTACCCCTCTCTGCCAATCCCTCCACTTCCACTTGCTCAACGAATAAAATTCAGAATACTAACAACAACTTACAAAGCCATCCACAACTCCACCCCCAGCTACATCACCAACCTGGTCTCAAAATATCAACCAAACTCTCTTCGATCCTCCCAAGACCTTCTGCTTTCTAGTTCCTGTGTCACCTCCTCCAATGCTCGCTTCCAGGACTTCTCCCAAGCTTCTCTCATCCTATGGAACTCCCTACCCCAATGTATCCGGCTGTCTCCTAATCTATCCATCTTTAGACGATCCCTGAAAACCTTTCTCTTTAACTACTTGCCAACCGCAGATAGTCGAATGACAGCTACACTGTGACCGGCCAGTTCTCCGAGGGCGTCATATGACGTCCTCCCAGAACGCGCTCTCCTGCGCGCCCCCCCTATGTCCTATGGACACAGCTGATCACGTGATGTGGTAAAAGGCCAATCACAGCGGCTTTTTACCACGTGATCAGCCGTGTCCATTACACGCTGATCACCGAGAAATGCAATTGCCTGTTCTCGGCTGCACTTTCCTCACGCTGTCAGAGCAGGGATCGGCACCGATCATCAGGGCACTGATGATCAGTGCCCTGATGACCGGTGCCCAGCAGTGCCACTCACCAGTTCTGCCCACCTGTGCCCAGCAGTACGCCCACCTGTGCCCAGCAGTGCACCCTCCTGTGCCCAGCAGTGCTACCCACCTGTGCCCAGAAGTGCCACCTACCTTTGCCCAGCAGTGCCACCCACCTGTGCCCACCGGTGCCACCCACCTGTGCTCACCAGTGCAGCCCAGCAGTGCTGCCAGTCAGTGCCACCAGTCAGTGCCCAGCGGTTGTGCCAGTCAGTGCCCAGCAGTTGCACCAGTCAATGTCTAGCAGTGCCGCAAGTCAGTGCCCAGCAGTGATACCAGTCAGTGCCACCTATCAGTGCTGTCTATCAGTCCCACCGATTAGTGCCGCCTATCTGTGCCACCTCATTAGTTCTGCCTATCAGTGCTGCCTATCCGTGCCACCTCATTAGTGCTGCCTATCAGTGCCGCCTATCAGTGCTGCCTATCAGTGCCCATCAGTGCCGCCTATTAGTGCCCATCAGTGCCGCCTCATCAATGCACATCAGTGAAGGAGAAAAATTACCTGTTTGAAAAATTTTATAATAGAAACAAAGAAACTTTTTTTTTCCAAATTTTATGCACTTTTTTTGTTTATAGCGCAAAAAGTAAAACGCCCAGCGATGATTAAATACCACCAAAAGAAGGCTCTATTTGTGAGAAAAAAATTTCATATGGGTACAATCTTGCATGACTGTACAATTGTCAATCAAAGTGCGATAGCTCTGAAAGCTGAAAATTGGCCTGGTAAAGAAGGGGGTATAAGTGCCCGGTAGACAAGTGGCTAAAGAAGCCTATTCTGTTTCTACCTAGTAAAAACCGCTATTTATTTCCTCCATCAGTTCATCCCCCCCACAGCTATTGCCTTTTGTATCACTCAACTCTTACTCTTAGATTGTAAGCTCTAACAAGCAGGGCCCTCTGTTTCCTCTTGTACCAAATTGTATTGTAACTGTACTGTCTACCTTCATTTTGTAAAGCACTGTGCAAACTGTTGGCGCTACATAAATCCTGTATAATATAATAATAATAATAATAATACACCCTAACCCTAACACAAAATAAATAAATTATTATTAATTTATTGATTTTTTTTTAAATGGTTAGTGGGTTAATTATTTATTATTGAATATTATTTGTGTATTGTATTTATTTATTATTTATTTATGATTATTTTTCTTTATTTTACATTTATTTATTTTTAATTATTGGTGTTATTATTATCACCCTAACAAAAAAAAAAATTAAATACTAAAAAGACAAT